AGGGAACTAACCTCGAGGCAGCAGGATCTGTGGACCAATAGTATTTGTCCTCAGTTGTCGACTGGTATGGATGCTCCATAGAGAGCAGGCTGTGATGGACCGCTTCCACCGAGACGTTTCTGGCCGACGAGAGCAACCAACCAGATCCGTCACATGCATCTCGCACAGTAGCATAACGTGGGATTCCCAGAGCTCTAGGCCCACCGTCCCCCAGAAAGGATATAAGTGGTCCATGGGGCAACCATGCGTCGAACCAAAAGCTGCAGGAACTACCATCTCCAACCCGACATCGAAGAAAGGGTCGGGCTAGATCACGAATTTTCAGAATTTTACGCCACATCCAACTTCCTTTACTTTGAGTTTTGAGATCCCAAAAGGATTTACCGGAGATCAAGTGATTCCTAACCCATGCCACCCAAAGTGATCCCCCCTTTGTAAAAATTAGCCATATCAGTTTCAATGACAAGACCGAATTCCAATCAGCCACCCTGTGTAAACCAAGCCCACCAGAAGATTTTGGTGTGCATATGGAGCTCCAAGCTACCTTCGCTCCCTTGGCCGAGGTTGGAGCACCAGTCCAAAGGAATGATGCACACATACGTTCCAATTCCTTAACACAATGACGAGGAAGAATAAAAGCCGTTGCCCAGAAGTTGATGATACTGAAAATGACCGATTTAAGCAGTTGTAACCTCCCAGCAAAGGAAAGAAATTTAGAAGTCCAAGAAAAGAGTTTTCCCCTTATTGAGTCCTTGAGCTTAGAACAGTCCGTGTCCGAGAAACCTTCCCCGAGAGTGGGAGACCCAAGTATTTTACCGGGAGCTTAGCCAGGTTTACACCAATAAGAGATGCTAGCTGGTTCCCCAAATGCTCGTGATGGCCATCGATGAAAAGGCTTGTTTTTTCCTTGTTCATCTTCAGACCAGAAGTAAGATAGAAACAGTCGAAAGCTTTCATCACCTCTTGTAGAGAGGAAGCAGAGCAGTCCGAGAATACAAGGATATCGTCGGCAAACATCAGATTTGAGATCAGCGGCCTGCGACATTTTGAAGGCAATGTAACCAGTCCTTGTTCCACCTGCCTATTGAGCAATCGTGACAGAACATCCATGACCAAGACGAATAGGTAAGGAGATATGGGATCACCCTGCCGTAGTCCTCTCTTGCCTTTAAAATACCCAACTGCTTCACCATTAAAGGAGATAGAGAAAGAAGGGGTTTTGAGACATTCACTCACCCATCCAATAAACCTTGTCGGAAAGTTGAGCGCCTGCATTATTCTGATTACAAATTCCCAGTGCACCATGTCAAAGGCCTTTGTAAGATCCACTTTCAACATTGCTTGTCGGGGCTGCCCCTTTCGGTCGAACCCAGAGACAATTTCAGTGGCCAGAAGGACATTTTCAATAACTGAACGACCAGGAATAAACGCCGTCTGATTGGGGCAAGTGATTGCTGATAGTATACTCTTTAGCCTGCGTGCTAACAACCGTGAGATAATCTTATACAATGTATTACAGCATGAAATAGGTCTGTACTCCCTGAGACGAGCTGCATTCCTAGTCTTTGTTATGAGTGTAATGATGGTGGCGTTCCATTGCTTGAGTAGCGAACCCGAGTGAAAAAATTCCTGAATAGCTTCTATCACTTCAGTACCGATTATCTCCCAACATAAGGTGAAAAATTCCGCTGAATAGCCATCAGGCCCCGGAGCCTTTCCCTTGGGTAGGCTGAAGACGGTGTTTCTGATTTCCTCATCAGTTGGTATTGCATCCAGATTTGTCAGGAGGCCTTCGGAGCAGCCCTCAGGGAATAGGTCTCGAATCTGATCAACCGGCCAGCAGATAATTTCATTGTCTCTCTCTCCCAAGATAGCTCGATAGTATTCAATGCACATTCTCTTCAGCTCAACCGGATTATGTATGCGGAGACCTGCATCGGATTCAAGGAAACGGATTGAATTTGAGGATTGTCTTGCTGCCATAACACGATGAAAATACTTCGTGTTTTGATCCCCTTCCGCAAGCCATTTAATCCTTGATTTTTGCTTCAGAAACATTTCTTCTGCCGCAGATAATGTAGCCCATTCGAATCTGAGTCGAGATTCCTCTGAGGCAGCAGAAAGAGTTGGATTTGAGAGTAAAGTATGTTGGGCTGCCTTCAGACTTTCCAAAGCTTGGGCTGATCGCACCTGAATCCCACTGAACACTTGCTTGTTGAGTTGCCTTAATACCGTTTTAAGGCGTTTAAGCTTAATAGATATCATGTACATGCAAGTACCCTCCTGTACATCCAAGTTCCAAGAGTCAGAGACAAGCTTAAAGAATGACTCATGCTTCGACAGATGTAAAAAGAACTTGAAACTAATCCTCCTCGATAGTTGCCTCTGATGTAGATGAACAATGCAGGGCGAGTGATCTGACGGTGCTGGATCATCAAAGATAGCAAAGGCCTCTGGATAGGAGAGGAGTAGTGAGTCGTTTACCACAACCCTATCTAGCTTCCGAGCGATGGGGTTTTCCAAACTGCAGTTGGACCATGTAAGGAAGTTCCCATGTGCTGCAAGATCAAATAATTCCGAGGTTAGGAGACAATTTTGAAGTTCTGACATACCCGGGTGAGGGATGAAGTGAGATGTCGGGGAGACATGTTCATGCGGGGTGAGGACTTGATTGAAGTCACCCATTAACATCCAAGGGCGGTTAAGCACAAGAGGGTGGGCGCTAAGGACAATAATCTCCTGCCATAAAGTTCTCCGCTCGGTAGCAGTATTATGGCCGTAGAGGAAAGAGACAGTGATATGCGACGCTTCTGCCGGATCATACACACCACAGGTGATCAGTTGTTCAGTGGCTGAATAGATATTCACCACGATTGAGGGGTGCCAAAATATCCAGATTCGTCCCATAGTAGTAGCAGCGTAATTATGGGCGAATCGCCATAGAGGAGCAATAGATCGAGCTATGCGGGCAGCCGAAAACTCGTCACGAACTCTAGTTTCAATGATCGCTCCGATCTTTGGCTGATATAGCCGGATTAGATCTTTGATAGCTCTCTGCTTGGCTGGTCCATTTATCCCACGTATGTTCCAACAAAATATCTTCATATATCTGCAACTGTTCGGCCAAATCCAAAAACCAAAAAGATCAAAAACCAAAAACCTGGGTGCTGCTGACTAATTCTATTTGCCTTGTCCTCTGCGAGCTCTCTTGACCTCGGTGAAGTCATCAAGAGCTTTGGAGGGTGCAATAATCCTGCTTCTCAAGACCCTTTGAGCTTCGATTATGAACTGCTCTTCAGAGTCAAAAATGAACTTGGGTTGTACTGGATCCTTTGCGGCTGTTCTCTCGAGTGGCAACATAGGGGATACAGAAGACATAGGCGGTTGGTAGGGACTAGGTTGAACCGCCCCTTGGCGGGATAGAGAGATGGTGGAACTAGAGGTCCTAGGTGGTGAGATAGTTGCATGGGCACATGCAGCCTCATCTTGAGTATCAGACGCTGCAACAATTTTCGGAGTTGTGGAAGATGAAGACTGCGGAATCGAAGCAACCTCGGGAGTCAGGGTGGAAGGCGCCTGTGGAGTGGGTGGCGGGGACGCTATTGCAGCCTGTTGCTCCACTTGAGTCTTGGGGGTCGGCTGGGGGGCCTCCCCATGACGATTCCCTCTTGTGAAGCATCCAGATTCCTTATGACCAAATTCGTTGCATGAAGAACAGTGTGGCGGCAACCAAGCATACGAGACCCGTACTTCGATTACACCACCATTTTCATCCTCAACCTCGATGCAGTCTGGAAGATCAGATCCCAATTGGATCTCGACCTTTACTCGAGCTTGTCCAACATTGAATGGATTCAACCGCATCCTCTCTGTGTGAAGTGGCTCTCCCAATCCACTAGCGATGTAGCTAATTCCGCGGAGGCTGTATAGTTCGGCTGGAATATCTGAGAGGCTAACCCAGATCGGCGCAGTGGCCAGAGCTTGTTGACGAAAGGTAGAGGTGGCAGACCATTCAGTGACGGTGAACATTGTGTCTGCTACCCTCCAGATTCCCACCTCAAGTATCCACTCTCTCGTTTGCAGGTCAGCAACATGAAACAAGCAGGTGGTATCGCTAACCCGTCGGACATGGATCCTGCTTTTCCGACCCCAAATCGGGTTCAAGGATTGAAATATTTTTGAACCCGAGGGAGCTACGCCCAAGAAATGACCTACAAGGTGACCCTTCCAAGTCTGTGAAGCCTCTAATAGAACAGAGCTTGAAATATAATATTTGAACGTGATGAAGGGGAACTTTAGCAAATCATCTTCCCTCTTTCCTTTTATTGAGTTGCCATTATCTCCGTTGAATGTGTTCTGCATGTGCATGTGTACTTTCGACGTCCGAGTCCATGTCTTCGTTTGTTTCTTGTCCGTCGAAGTGTCCTTCTCCTTCTAACAGTGTGTATATAAATTTGGACAGATCTTATTGTTACTTGAATCTCGAATTAACGATGATTCGACTGGTTTTCCCCCCACTTGCAATGTCTCATGCTACGAGCCATCTTCACTTGATAATTTTTAAATAAAAATAAAAAATAAATATATCAATGCATACATACATACATGCATATATACACGTACACATACATTTTTTTTATAATATGGAAGCTCATGCTACGAGCCATCTTCACAAAATGCCCCTCACCCGAGTTCGAACCCAACTTGGATTAAACTTTACCCAAAAAAAAAAGGAAGTTGACTACCAATCGAAAAGAAAGATTCTACTTTTACATGAGATGCTTGAAAAAACAAGAGGGTGGACCAACGTGTTTCCTCGAGGAGTTGATAATGGAGTCCAAGGCGTGACAAAGAATAATTTTCCACATGTGTTATAAGTAACGTGCCAAGCACACATGCTGAGAAGCATATCACACTCCTTGCCGAGGTTGTCGTGAACGCGGAGTGAGTCCAACTCATGGCGTCACCTTTTCTTCGACCTATAAAACCCCCATTTGACATCTCTTTCTTCCTCACCACACTCTCTCATCTCCGTTCTTGTTCACTTTTGTCTCTCTGTCTCTTCCTCCGTAACAAAAAAAAACAATGTCTTCCATGTTCGGCTCGGATGTCTTTGAAAGCATTGTTGTTGTCGAGAATGGAGGCGATGATGATGATGGAGGCTACGATTACGCCCCGGCCGCATGAGCTGAAGTTACGATTCTTGCTTATAGGTATTCATAGATTTTTGGGTAAGTCAAAGTTTAGTCTTGGCCAATGTAGAATGGTAGTCTGAATATTCATGCTTGTGTTTCCTTGATGAATAATAAGAGTGTGGAAAGATATATATAACTTGTTCTATCTGTCCACTCTCCATCGAGTATCATTGTCTGGTTCTCTGTGTTCTGAAATCTAACATGGATTTGGTTATTTGATAGAGAATCACTAAAGCTTTGACTATTGATTAATCTAAAGATTGCTCAAGAACATAAGGTTTTGTTATGGTATGGGTTTCGAATTTCAACCCGGGATAATATCAAATCAACTGTAATGAAAGGATTATGGAAATCCTGAACGGAGATTCTAGATTAAGGCAACCTAAAACTTTAACGCAAAGGCATGGGTGCTTTTCATATAATAAAGAGACAACTCTCACTACATGCGCAAATATTCGGCCGTGTGCATACCATAATATACATCAGGACTACCGATGGCTGATAAATACAAACTGGTTTCCATCATCTTTTTCTTCTTACAACTCTTTGGAGAATTTCCTTTAGACAATTTAAAATGGTTGGCTAAACATATATAGTAACCGGTTTGCTCACTCTCATTTTAAACCGTTCAATTTTTTTATCAACATATTCCGTTTGGCTTAACGAAAACTCGCCTCTCTCTCAATATCGTTAGGGATTCTCATGTCCAATATCTTTCTTACTTCATCAAGATCCTAGGTTAAAATTCTCTTAGACAAATCAAAATCAAGAAACTTAATCACCTCATGGCCATTACTTGCATTCCTCATGTAATCTACATGAAGTAACAATAAGGTAAATGTACCTTTTACGTTTCCCTTCACGTACTTTTATGATCAAAGCTGTTTCTTTTCAAACCTTTTTCTTGTATAAATGTATCAAACTTCTTGCACCACTGTCACGATGATCGTTTCTAACCATACAATACAACCCCTAATTATTCAATCTGCGCACAAGATTATAGGATTTGATCCATCAACAAAATTTTTTAGTTGTGGCGTAAATAATTTTCGGTCCAAATCATTGTCTTGTGACAGACATTGTCGATCAGTATACAATATGCTTATATTTTTTTAAAAGACATGTTAAAACACACTTTTTGATATGGGGTATGAAATTCCTAGTACGAGAAAGAGACAACGTTCAAATAATGTCTTCTAAACGAAGATTTTGTTGTACTCGATAGAAATGATTTTACCCAAAATTGGACAGTTCAACCGGTAAATAAGGAACCAAAACTCTTTTTCAACCCATATTTGAATTTCTATTTGTTAAGATGTATTCACATGGGTTTCATCTGTTTTGTGGGAGATATAGTTGGATCAAAGGTCCGGTAAATTTCCGAATTATAAAAAAGTGATAGAAATGAATTTGATCGAAAACAATGAGGGTGAGGAGAGAAACGAGTAGTAGTAGAGGGGGAGGAAGATAATGAGGAAGAGAACGAGTAAAAGGATGGAAAGAAGGAAGAGAATACGTTGAAGAAGAAAGAAGATGCAAATATAAAAAAAGGTTTATTTTGAATTTTTAAATGGATTTTTTAAAATAGTTTTTTTTTGGGGGTTTATCTTTTTTTTAAATGTTTTTAGTAAACTGATATTTTTTTTGGTGTTATTAGGTAATATTTAGTTAAATAGTTAGATACAAAATCACCCAATAATATTTAGTTATAAAACATTTGTTGTTTCCGACTGAAATTTCTCATCTATTAATTTTTTATATTTATTATCTTTAAATATTTAAAACAATAAATTGTGCATAGTATGATACCATAAATATGGTAGAATATAAAAACAGAAACAAATAATAATTTAACGTTACAAAAGACGTGATATTTTAACAAAATGATATTTTATTTAAAATAAAAATAGTGCAGTATTTAAAAATTAAAAGATCAGTTTGCGTTGGTCAAACTTCGTTGAACGAACAAGTTTTATCTAAAATAAAGTCCAATTCATTTTTCTATATAAATTCGAATTAAAACCTCCTTCCTATAATTTTTTAAAAGAAAAAAGATAGAAGAGTAAAAAATAAAGTTGAAATATAAAAGTCAAATCAAATCAAATAATATATAAATATATAAAACATTTCAATTACTAATTAATTAGATATAATTTTTTTAAACTTCAAATTTAAACTAAAACAAACCGACTACATAAAAATATTTAAATAAATAAATAATTTTTTTGAAATAAAAACAAATTATATAAATTTAATTGATATCTAACAAAATAAATATGATCTCATAAAATAAAGAAAATAACTACTTCAGAATATAATTTACGTCCAAAATATCTAACCCTATGATTCAATTTTAAAAAAGGTAAGGCTGATCAAATGTATTCTCCATTAATGTATTCTTATAAAAAAAAATCAAAGATTAAATAAAATTATATCTCCTGTCAAAAGATATCAAAGCTTAATAAACAAACACCGAGAAAAGGAGAAAACGCTTGAATAATTTGTCGTTTATTTTATTGCGGGAAATTTGCAAGTGAGTAATTTTTATTTCAATAATTTCAGATTACCTCCGTCTTCCTGCGCACATTTAGGCATCTTCTTCCTCAGAACACCGACCTGAGGGTTTCTATCTATCGCCCTTTGAATTCATCTTTCGTTTTTCTTTTTCCTCAAGTTTAGTGGTCTTTTTCTCTTGACCCAGGACGCCGACCATGTCGCAGACGAACTGGGAAGCTGATAAAATGTGAGTATTTCTTGGGAAAGCCGTCTTCTTTTCTATTTCTTCTGAATTTTAGTATCTGGGTTTTGTTGTAATCTTTTCCTTTTTGTCGATTTCTATCGAAATTTTAGGGTTTTTTGGTTGGTTTGAGGACGATTTTACTTATGAAGTTGGTAAACCTTCCGGTCTCCCGTTTGGTTATCTTTTCGTTGTTCTGCTGTTGGTTTTCTGTGGTTCTCTCTCGAAATTTATGTATGTATATGCTTCGCCCTTCTTGGGCTTTAATCTTTGCTTTTTCTTTCTGGGAAAAATCAATTTAGGGTCTCTTTTTCTCCCATATGCGATGTTGAAATGAACTTTTGTGCACAGTGAAATCACGGTGATAATTGTGTTCAGTGGTTATGGGTAGAATGAATGACCATGTCTTAGTTTACTGCAAGGGCAAACAGTTTGTTGGCTGGTTCATCTTCTCATATGGTATGTTAAAATATGCTATAATTTCATATAATTTCTAATTAATCAAGGACCAACGTAATGCATAGTATAATTTTGGTTATCTTTTGTGTGTATGGCTTATCTTGGGCAGTCTTTTCACGAGTCTTCCTTTCAATCTATTTGGTGTTATCTTGTAAATGTTACACTCTGTGTCCTTATTTTTGTTGCTCCCGCATTTGTAGCAGAAATATTTTCTGGTTCTCAATCGATTCTGTGGTGTTCTCTGTTGTTCATTTCATTAGACGATTATTATAAATATGTAGTCTATTGTTTTCGGTAGTGAGAGCTAAAAGTCTGCACAAGTTTAAGTATGCTAAAATTTTGATTTTTTTTTTGTCTTCTCTCTTTTCCTTTTGGTTGATGATAGGTTGGATGTCTACATCCATGACTACCTTATAAAGAGGAAGTTGCATGCTTCTGCCAATGCATTTCAGGCTGAGGGCAAAGTATCGACTGATCCCGTTGGTAAGGGAAAGCTTACGAACTTCTTTCTTATGCTAATTTTGCACACAAGCATTTCTATTATTGTATGAACTCTGCCCTTCCAAATTTCTTTAGCTATTGATGCTCCTGGTGGGTTTTTGTTCGAGTGGTGGTCTGTCTTTTGGGACATATTCATTGCTCGAACGAATGAAAAGCACTCAGAAGCTGCGGCAGCTTATCTCGAGGTCAGATATAAGATCCAAATACTTGATCACATCTGGTTAATGTATGCTTATTTGCATTCTCATATATATATATATATATATATATATATA